CAATATAGGGAGAGCAATTAGGGCCACATAACAATGTATGTATTGTATAAATTTTTGTATGGGAGACTAACTTGAAATGTAAACTTCATTTAAACTGCAACAACAACCAAAAAGAATAGGTGAGTTGTAGTGAGCTTCAAAACGAATCGCCTGAGTCAAAATAGTCATGAAATGAAAATCAGCTAGCTGAAGACTCCCATCTTCTTTTAAGAAAATTGTTTGTTGTTTGGGAACCCTGGTGGTGTAGTGGTTAAGTGTTCAGCTGCTGACCAAAAGGTCAGCAGTTCAAATCCACCGGCCACCCTTGGAAACCCTATAGGGCAATTCTACTCTGTCCAGTAGGGTTGCTATGAGTTGGAATCAGCTTGACGTCAATGGGTTTTTTGTCTTTTTGGTTTGTTGTTTAGGATACCAATACTGGTTTTTTTTTGTTTTGTTTTTTTTTCATTCAGAATTCAACTTGAAAAACTTTGAGCTAAAAAGTACTTGTGCATACTCTTTTCCTCTGCTGTTTATTTTGATTTATTATTAATTTAGTCAGTGGCCCAGTTATATTTCTCTCTAGTAAAAATATCTTAAACTAAAAAACAAAATAAGTGTGTGGGAAGCACCTCCTGGATGCCTGCAGGTGTGAAGGGTGGCAGAGAAGAGCCTGAATGGGGCACTGCTGAGGAGGGGAGACCCGGTAATGGGTTGCCTGCAGGGGGTGAGGGGAGGAGGGAGGAGGACAGGCAGTTCCTGGTGACTGGGTAGAAAGTGATGCCGCCTCCCATGACAGAGAAGAGCAGGTTGTATTAAGCCCAGTGCCGATAGACGCAGAAAAGATGGAATGCCCAGGGGCAGGGGCAGGGGCAGGGGCAGGGGCAGGGCCAGGGGGTGGCCAGGCAGCAGAGGTAATGAGGGAAGGCTTCTGGAAGAGGCACTCTGGTGAGTCTGAGAGAGCCAGGGTGTGGTGAGGAGGACAGGGCAGCTGGGAAGGAAGTCCAGATGGAGAGGCTGGCACAGCACAGAGGGGAGAGTGAGCAGCTACCCCTAGCTGGGCCCAGGGAGTGCCAGCAGATGAAAGAGGCATGCTGAGCTGGGCGGGCTCTTGCTGGAGAGGTAGCCAGGAGAATCCTGGTCTTGGGGTCAAAACCCTTTGCCATTAGGATAGTCCTAGACCCGCACAGGAGCCCTGTCCCGCCATTCTACAGAGGAGGAAACAGGCTCAGAAAGGTTGACCACTTGACAAACACTGGGGCTACTACCTGCATGTCTTGACTGCCCCAGGAACCCTGGGCAGCGCCAAGATGGTGGGGCTGCCCTCTCACCCAGCCAGCAGGGGAGAAGGCTGGTGCTTAAGAAGAAGGTGAGAGCAAGAGAGGACGGGAGGACTCGGGGGTCCCAGAGCAGTGCAGCAGAGTGGAAGCTGCCAATCCCTGCCTGTTGACACTCAGGGACCTCTGACACTAAGTCACTTAAAGGCAATATAGTGTGGTGGTCACAGTGGCCACTGGGATCAAGTCTCGCTCTGCCACTGTGAGCCAGCCCCATATCCTTGGAAAGCAACTTCACCTCTCTTTGCTTTCGCTCCCCATCTGAAAATGGGAGTGATAACATTACCTCCACCACAAGGCTGGGTGAGGCTTATGTGAGCTAATAGGTATAAAGTGCTTAGAACAGCACCAGCACTTAGTAAATGCTCAATAAATATTTAGGCTCTGGAGCCCTGGTTTCTCCATCTGTACAATGGAGGGCATAATAACTCTCCAAAGGCACTTACTGAAATCCTCATTGGTGGCGCTGTAGCCTGGTTGGTTGTATCAAAGTCTTGTTTTTGCCCTCACTTGGTAGCTCTTTAAGGCCTAGGCTGGAGCTGGTTCTTCTCTGAGACCCCCACAGCACCTGGTCAGGTGCCTCAGGCAGGGTGATTTTTAATTAGGGTGATTGCCATCTTGGCTGCCTACCTTCCAAAGCTCACCGTTTTCTATCCTCCCAAAGAGGCACTTGGCCTTTCAGGGACCAGGGAAATGGCCTTTGGCTTATTTATTGAGCACTTACTATATAGTGATCCCTGCAAGTCCTAGGATTGCAACCATAGCCTTTCCCGACCCTGGGCCAGGCACTATGCTCATTGCACATAATCCTCACGGTCAATTTATTGGGTAGATACAGCTCAGAGAGGTCTGGCAACTTGCCCAAAGTGACTCAGCAGAAAGGGTAACCAGATAATGGTTAAACACTGCCCAGAATTATTCTAAGCATTTTATATAAGCTAACCAATGTAATTCTCACAATAGATACTATGGTCTCCATTTTACACATGAGGCAACAGGTTAAGTGACTTGCCCAAGGTCACTTTGCTCTTAACTGGTAAAGTGGATCTGCCAGGTAACCTGTGCACTTAAGCACTGTGCTTCATTGACCTCTGCTTGCTCTGCTTCAAGAAGAATTTACGGAGCACTTGTTGAGCGCCAGTTTTCGTAAGGACAGAGGATGCAGCTGTGAATCAGATGTGGCTCCAATTCCGGGGAAGCTCAGAACACAGCCAGAAGGCCCCTAGATGAATAATTATGGCAGGGGAGTAAAGCACTCTGAACCTAAGTGATGTAAGCACTGAAGGGGGCAGTGTCTCTGAGGCTGGAGTTGGTTAGGGGGTGGGGAGAAGGGGTTTGCTAAGACCTGAAAACTTGGGACGGACAAAATGAATTAGATAAATGTATGTTCCCTGCTTGGAGTCCCTGGGTGGTGCAAATGGTTAATGTATTCAGCTGCTAACCAAAAGGGTGGAGGTTCAAGTCCACCCAGAGGCACCTCAGAAGAAAGGCCTGGCAATCTACTTCTGAAACAAAAACAATCAGCCATTGAAAACTCTATGGAGCACAGTTCTACTCTGACCCACGTGGGGTTGTCAAGAGTAGAGTCAACTCAACAGCAACTGGTTACTGGTTATGTTTCCCACTTACATATGAAGAAACAGATGCTCAGGGAGGTTGACTCACTTGCTGAAGATCACACAGCACCCAGGTACTTGATGGCATGTACTCCAAGTGAGTGACTCTGACCTGCAGATAGTCTAGCCACATTTCATTCCAAGAAGGAATTCACCCATTGTAAAATTCTTCCCCTTCCGTCCTCTCACTTACCTTCTGCACTATCCCCCAAGGCATCTCAGCAGAGCTGGAATCATAAACTCCAACAGGTGAAAGAAGAAACTGAGGCTGGAAGAGAGTGAGGCCGGAAGAGGGACCCTACCCGTTCAATAGGAAAATGTGGATAAAGCTTTTAGCACAGTCCTTGGCACATATAAGCATTAATAAATGTTAGCTATCATCATCATAAAAACCAAACCCACTGCTGTCGAGTCTATTCTGACTCATAGCGACCCTATAGGACAAAGTAGAACTGCTGCACAGGGTTTCCTAGGCCGTAATCTTTACAGGAGCACACTGCCACATCTGTCTCCAACAGAGTGGCTGGTGGGTTCAAACCACTGACCTTTCAGTTAGCAGCTGAGCGCTTTAACCACTGTACTACCAGGGCTCCTTAGAGGGACCATAGACCTCCTGTTCCTAGCCCAGGGCCAAAGGAAAGGGGAAGATGAATTTGAACACACCCTTACACAGGGGCCATTGCTTCTTGCAGAAGCCCATTCCCCTAGCTGTAGGTCCTCAGAGCAGGGAAGAAGAAAGTCACAGCCCCATGCACTGGGAGAACCCAGGTATCCACCCAGATTGCTGAATGCAGGCTGAGTGCAAACACTGCCCTCCTCAGGCCTACCCTGGTATTGCAGAGCCCCTTTATTTTAATAAATCTATAAACACGGACTATATAAACAGCTACAAGGAGCCCTGGTGGCTCAGTGGTTAAGCGCTTGGCTGCTAACTGAAAGGTCAGCAGTTGGAACCCATCAGCTGTTCCATAGGAGAAAGATACGGAAGTCTGCTTTCATAAAGATTACAGCCTTGGAAACCCAGTGGGGCAGTTCCATTCTCTCTTATAGGGTCGCTATGAGTCGGAATCAACTTGATGGCAACGGGTTTTTTGATAACAGCTACACTCACTGGGTGCCTATAATGTGCAAGGTCTCGTGCCATGTGCCTTACACACTTATGCCAAATACTCACAATTGGCCCTGCAGAAATGGGCCTTAGAATCATAATTTTACAAATAAGGCAACTGAGTCGGAATGATTAAGTCACTTGTCTAGGGCTGCACAGCTAGTAAATGGCCGGACAGGGACTCAAAGCCAGGTCCATCTGATTGCAAAGCCAGTGTTGTCTTTAGCTCTACCACATCACCTCTCTACATGCCCTGCACTGTGCTAGGACTTGTCTTCTGTAATATAATCATCTCAGTTGTCTGGAACCCAGGAATCAGGGCCCATAAGCCATTAGTAAGCAAGACTGGGACCCATGGGTACTGCCCCAGACCTCTTCAACTGCCCTGCTGACTAAATCGGGATTCATCCTGGAAGCTGTGACCCAAACAAGCTGGGATAGGTGAAGCAGAATCACTAGAGGACCCAGCTGAGCCCACAAACAGCTTCAAGGACAAGAAACTAGGTATCCTGGGACCTTCTGAGCACAGCGAGGGCTGCAGTGTTGGAGCTTGAGACCCTAACAGCTTCAGGAGATGGATTTTCCCAGCAATAATGCTGTGCGGCCCCTCCGTGAGGCTCTGTGGCCCCTGTGTGAGGCTGCATGGGCCCTGTGTGAGGCTGCATGGGCCCTCTGTGAGGCTGTGTGGGCCCTCCGTGATGCCTATGTGGCCTCTCCGTGGGACTGCATGGCCCTCTGTGAGGCTGCATGGCCCTCTGTGAAGCTGTGTGGCTCCTCCATGAGGCTGCATGGGCCCTGTGTGGCCCCTCTGTGAGGCTGCACGGCCCCTCCGTGAGGCTGTGTGGCCCCTCCATGAAGCTGCGTGGCCCATATGTGAGGCTGTGTGGCCCCGCCATGCCTTGTGGCCTCTCTGAGTCCTTATCTGGTTTCCCCAGTGACTCCCCTTGTCTTCTCTCCCAGGTTGCCCATCTGGAACCTTCAAGGCCAACCAGGGAGATGAGGCCTGCACCCACTGTCCCATCAACAGCCGGACTACTTCAGAAGGGGCCACCAACTGCGTCTGCCGAAACGGCTACTACAGGGCAGACCTGGACCCCCTGGACATGCCCTGCACAAGTAGGTCTCGGAGCCCCTTGAGGACACACCTGACCAAGGCTGCTTGTGGAAAAGAGCTACGGTCCGGCAGTTGTCTGGTTATAGCCTGCCTTGCTAAGCAAGGAGCAGCCAACTACCTGGTGGGAAGGAGAATGAAAACTGGTCAGAAAAGGACCATTCTGGGGCAGTCATGCAACTAACGCATAGGCACCATGGAGCTGGCATCTGGCTCCCTTCCCCCTTGTGCTAATCACGTGGAGGATAAAGTCAAGGTCTTGATTCACAAAGGGACAAAGGAGGGTGGGAAGCTTGGCAAGAGAAGATTCCACAATGAGGCAGGCTCCCAGGTGGTGTCTATGGCAGAAAAGACTGCCCAGTGTTCTCACCTAGTGGCAGCTGCCTGAATCCCAGGCCAAGCTTATTCAAGAAAAGGGTGACTTAGAGGGCAATGTTACCCTGTATCAGTGAGGAATGGCATTCAGCCACAAGTAATAGACAGCTGAGAGCCCAGTGGCTTAAACCATAAGAATTTATTCTCTCACTTAAAAGGACCCAAAGGTAGGCAGTGATGGAATAGTATACCAGCTCCAAGAAGTCCTCTGGGACCTAGCTCTTTCTTTCTGCTCTGCCGTCCATAGCATGTGGTTTCTGTCCTCTTGGTCACTTCATAGTCCAACATTGCTGCTGAAGCTCCAGCCATCACTTCCCTATTCTAAACAGCAGAAAGGAAGAAGGGAGGAAAGGACAAAGGGGCATGCTGCAGCTGTCTGTCTCCCTTTTAAGAACAGTCCCAACCCACAACTTCTGCTATATCTCAGTGGTCAGCATTTAGTCATAGGGAGTCTGGGAAATGTAGTCTTTTAGCTGGACATATTGCCACCCTGAATAAAGTCAGGGTCTGTTATAAGGAAGAAGGGGAAAATGCATACTGGGAAGGCATAATACCAAACACAAAAGGACTATCTCCAGTAGTAGACATTGAGGAGGTCAAAGTTCAGGGCGTAAGTTTAAGCAGGGGTGCAATCGGATGAGAGTTAGATTCTAGAAATATCTCTCTGATGGGTGGAGAAAAGAAAGGATTTGGAGAGAAAGCCTTTTGCGAGGCCTGGGCTGGAGCCAGGGCAGCGGGCACAGGTCTCTTGGGGAATAGTGCCCTTGCAGCCCCCACTGACCAGCATGTCTCCCCCTTCCCAGCCATCCCGTCCGCACCACAGGCCGTGATCTCCAGCGTTAATGAGACCTCACTCATGCTAGAGTGGACTCCACCCCGTGACTCAGGAGGCCGTGAGGATCTCGTCTACAACATCATCTGCAAGAGCTGCGGCTCAGGCAGGGGGGCCTGCACCCGTTGTGGGGACAATGTGCAGTATGCACCACGCCAGCTGGGCCTGACGGAGCCACGCATCTACATCAGTGACCTGCTGGCCCACACCCAGTACACCTTCGAGATCCAGGCCGTGAACGGCGTCACTGACCAGAGCCCCTTCTCGCCGCAGTTCGCCTCCGTGAACATCACCACCAACCAAGCAGGTAAGCACTTCAGATGCAGGCTCAGGGGCGGGCTGCCCTGTCATGCTGTGCCAAATGGGTATCCTGCCAGCCCTCATTAAAGACTCACTCACATCTGGGTAGGGGTTTCTTCTTTTCAAAGGCTTTTCATGTGATCCAGCCACCTGGGAGAGTAATTGTTACCTCTCCATTATAGCAGCATTTAGAATAATTGCTACCACTTTTTGAGTACATATCAAGGTAAAAGTTAAGCTGCTATAACAATAAGACCCGATGTTCAGTGGCTTAAAGAACACAGAAATGTATTTCCCTCTCATTTAACAGTCCAAGGAGTCTCTGGGTGATGCAGATGGTTAATGCGCTCAGCTGCTAAATGAAAGGTTGGAGATTCAAGTCCACCCAGAGGTGCCTTGAAAGAAAGGCCTGGCAATCTACTTCTGAAAAATTAGCCACTGAAAACCCCATGGAGCACTTTTCTACTCCGACACACATGGGGTTGCCATGAGTCAAAATTGACTCAACAGCAACTGGTTTCAACTGTTGTTTTTGTAACAGGCCAAAGATGACAAGTTCAGAGCAGGGTAGCTCTGATCAAGCTAGAGATTCAGGGACCCAGATCCTTCTATCGTGTGGTTTCCCCACTCACCATGCTTCTTTCCTGCATGATCAAAGCTGGGCCATGGGCATGTCAGTTCCTGCTGTAGCCTGCAGGAAGGGGAAGAGGGAAGATCCAGGGCAGTGAGAAGGTTCTAAGCGGAAGCATCACCCATCACTTCTGTATACCTTCCATTGGGAAGAATCTGGTCACATGGCCTCACCGAGCCCCAAGGGAGGCTGGGAAATGTAACCTCTCACTGGTCAGCCATACGCCTAACTGCTGGCGCAATGGTTAAGCACTTCGCTGCTAATCACAAGGTTGGCAGTTCAAACCCAGCTAGTGGCTCTGAGGGAGAAAGACCTAGCGATCTGCTTCCATAAAGATTATAGCCAAGAAAACCCTGTAGGGAAGTTCTACTCTGTCACATGGGGTCACTATGAATCAGCATCGACTTGACGGCATCCAACAACAACAGCCTCTATCATCACAGAAAATTAGGAGACAAATTTCAGCGAACATCCAGCAGTTTCCACAAGTGCTTTCTTTGAACCTCATCCCATTCTGGTCTAACTCCAGCAAAACTGTTCTCCTAAGCTCACCCTTAACAGTCCCTTCTGTGACCTCACATCTCCCCCTACCTTCCGCCCTGCTGTCCCTCACAGCACAACTTCTCCAAAGAGTTGCTGTACAATGCAGTCATGCCCTCCTACCCCAATCCTTCTTCCGCCTACTCCAGTTGGGCTTCCAGCCCCACCTTTCCACCAAGATCGCTGTCCTAGGGATAACCTGAGATCCCTATGTGACCACATCCAGGAGACACTTCCTAGAAGCCCCATCGTTCTCAGATCCCCACAACAAGCAGTACAGTTGGCCTCTTCTTCTTGCTTATAACCCTTTCTTCCATGGCCCAGACTCTGCTGGTTTCCCTCCTATATCCCTGACTATCCTTTTTCCAGCCCCACTTGGCCCATTTCCTGTTGGAAAGTTGGAATCTCTCAGGCCTCTGCCCAGGCTTCTCTCCCTGAGCCATCTCCTCCACCCCATAGCTTCAGCTCCCATCCGCCAGCCTGGACCTTCCCTCTAAATACCAGACCACCCAGCTAACATCTACTCAACAAGTCTACTTGGATGTTTCACAGGACTCTAAGGCTTAAACTCAACCCTTGATCACTTTCCTCTGCAAAAAAATAAAACGTGTTTTTCCCTCAATCTTGCCCACCTCAGTCAACTCTACCACCAGCCACCAGTCCAGGTCAGAGGCCCAGGAGCCATCATCAGCTCCTACCTCTCCCTCAGCCCGTATCTATTCAGTCAACAAGACCTTTGATTTCACATTCTTAACACCTTTCCCAACTGACGCTCCATCTCACCACCTCAGCTGTAGTTTAGGAGCTCTTTGTCTTTTTTTTGAACCACTATCAACTACATGTGATAAGGCATTGGTAGTTCAGTGGTAGAATTCTTGCCTCTCATGCAGGAGACCTGGGTTTGATTCCTGGCCAATACACCTCATGCAGACACCACTCATCTGTCGGTGGTGGCTTACGTGTTGCTACCACACTGAACAAGGTTCAGCGGACCTTCCAGACTGAGATGGACTAGGACCTGACAATCTGCTTTCAAGAATCAGCCAAAGAAAATCTTATGGATTACAAATGAACATTGTTTGATCCACAAGTTCTGTTATGCATGGGATCACCATGAGTCGGGAGTTGACTCGACGGCAGCTAACAACAATATCCGCCACATACCTACCTCTTTGGCCTCCTTACTTACCTTCTCTGGCCTCTAATCCATCCTTCTCACTGTTGGCGAGAGGAATATTTCTCAAATGTTAATCTGGACAGGTCACTCCTCCCCTCCCCGTTCAGTGTAAAGTTCAAGCCCCTTGGCCCACCCTTCAAAGCCCCTCATGGTTCAGGCCCAGCTTAACTTTGCAATATTGACCACTCAACCACATGCCCCAGTTCCCCAAACACACCAGCCCTTCTTGCCCCAGGGTCTTTGCTCGTGCTGTACTCATGCATCCATGCTTCACGTGAATAACTCCTACCCATCCTGCAGGCTTTAGCTTGGACATCAGTTCCTCGGATTCCCCAACTGGGCTGACCCTGACCTTAGCACTTGCTGCCCACGTCATCACCACCGCTCACTCCTGTGTACCCTCTCCAGACTCTGACCTCCTTGAGGACAGAGGCTGTGTCTCACTCAGCTCCGTGTCTTGCTCAGCTCCGTGTCTCACACAGCTCCGTGTCTCACTCAGCTCTGTGTCTCACTCAGCTCCGTGTCTCACTCAGCTCCGTGTCTCACTCAGCTCTGTGTTTCACTTAGCTCTGTGTCTCTGGTGCCCAGTCCTGGTTGAGGGTGCTCTCCATGCATTACCTCACTGTATCCCCCAATCTCCCTGAGAAGGAGACATTCATGTCCCTATTTCACAGACAACACTCAGAGAAGCTGAGCCACAAATCCAGGAAAGGTGAGAGGTAGCAAGTGACCTAGATCTAACGGATTCCAGTGGTTGGACAAAGTCCAGGGTGTGTCTAAGGAACCTTGAGTATGACTATGTGTCTGATTGTTCGTGGGAGTCTGCATATTTGTGAGAATGTGTGGATATGTTATTGTATGTGTTTGGGCAACTGTGTGTTTGTGATTGTGTGTGATTGGCCATGTGGCTTGGAATTTGTACACATATTTGTGGGCATGGATGTGTCTGAATCTAAGAGGCGACTGGGGGCAAGATGGCAGAGTAGTCAGATGCTTCCAGTGGTCCCACTTAAAACAAAGACCTGAAAAAAATAAGTGAATCAATTATATATGACAATCTAGGAGCCCTGAACATTAAAGGCAAAGTTGAGGAATTGGACTGAGTGGCAGGGGGAGGGTGAGATTGTTCAGAAGCAGCAAGGAGTTGCCAGACCTGACCCAGAAGGAACCAGCACCCTGCAGGCCGAATTGGCTGGCATGCGCGATGAGGCAAGCAGTGGCATTTGGGACACATTTTCCACGTTGGGAGAGACTGAGTGGTGGAGAGTCCACTCAAACCTCCAGAACCAGTGAAAAGCGGGACTCAGTTGGTAAAAGATAAGTACGTGTGTCTAACCTACCTGCGGATAAAAAAAACACCCTGTTTGGGAAGAACCTCTCTCCCATCTACCTGCTCCCTCCCAACTCTGCACCGGGTCCTGGGTCAGCTTCAGCAATTGCCATGTCCCCTGGGCCAGAAGTAGGACCAATCACGTACCCTGAGCCATTCTCCTGGCCTTGGAGAGGGAACAAATTAACGAACAGGAAAAAGTAATCTACCAGCTCCCCTAAACTGGAAACTCGGGGCAGGCACAGCTCCCTAGGCACAGGCATAAGGGATCCACGGACTTTAAATGCCTTTCACCCCTGCATAGACCTGTGTGGGCCTATTTCAACAGCATAGGCCCTCGTTAGCACAGTATAACAGCGCATATACCTGAAACCTAACTTCAACTGTATCGGCTATATGGTGGAGTGGCAGGTTTGTGACATTTGACACCACTCTTCCCATTAAGCAAGGCCCTCACTTACCCACATCAGGGGCCTGAGGACTGGTGGCTCTATGCACACCACCTAGCCACCTGTGACAGGGGTCCAAGAATAAGTGGTGCCTCCCTCTCCTTACAACCAACAGCATTGGATGCCCATAGTCCGGCTGCAAAACCCACCCATCTACGCACTCTAGGGAACAGGGACACACTTTCCTCCCAGAAACTCAGAGGCAGCCATCAGCCCCCTGCCTTGCTCAGTGCATGACCCTCTACTGCAGCCAGATACCTGTGCCTACACCAATTACCCCAGCCCTTATGGGACTGTAGGTGAAAGCCTACACCACACACTTGGTGACTGACTACCTGGACACCTGAGCTGAATCCATACAAGAAAAGTCAATGGACTCCTGGGCTCACATACTTGGTAACAGATCTAACCACTTGGTTACAGGACTTTAGATCTTCAAAGGTGCCAATAATCAAACTAGCTCACATGAGCAGCCTATTTGGGCGTATCAAAACAAAACAAAACCAGAAGCTAGGACACAGTAAGCAAACATACAGTAAATAAATATAATAACTTATTGATGGCTTGGAGACAACAGTCAATATCAAATCACATAAAGAGGCAGACGATGATGGCTTCAGCAAGCTCCCAAAACAAAGAATCAAGAAATCTTCCAGAGGAAAAGAACTTCTTGGAATTACTGGAGGTAGAGTAAAAAAGTTAATATACAGAACACTTCAAGAGATCAGGAAGGAGATCATTCAAAATGCAGAACAAGCCAAGGAACACACAAACAAAGTAAAAGAGGAACTTAAGAAGATTATAGAAGAGCACAATGACAAATTTAACAGGCTGCAAGAATGCATAGAGACAGTAATCCAAAATCCAGAAGATTCACAAT